GCCACTTAGTTAGAGCTGTAATCTACCGACCATGGCGACCTCTAAGTATTTGAAAAGTGGGACTAACAAGGCATAATATTTTAGCAGAAGAACTGTTGATGAACATATTCTGCCCTAACGTTTGTCGGGAGAAGACAGACTTTTTAGTCACTGATAGGGTGTTTAGAAAACTATGAACGATCAAAAAGGCAATTCTTCATCCATATTCGTTAAAAAGTCACCAAACGTGCTCGAACTGTTCCTCTGCCATCGAGTTATGTGGGCTTAACACGAACCGGGACCTCAAACACTTGTGTGGGTAAAAATTTGTAATGTCTGTGGATTTGGTAACTTAACCACATAAAGAAAAAAGAATCCAGGAAACAATAAAATGCGTCAGACTACATTTCCGACAGACTTGAATATAGCTTCTGTGTCCCTTTTTTGCTAACTAATGCCTGACTTGGAAGAATTATGTCCCTGCTTGAGGTGAATAAAGCCCTACCTTTGTGACCTTTTGCTTTTGTTACCTTCCTGTTATTTTCATGTCAACTTGGCCCGGCCATCTTGCCCCGCTCTAGGCGACTAATAAGTGTGGCCGAACAGGTTCGCCTAAAGATAATTGACACCGGTGGCCCCCGTTCCTTGCATTGGTCAGTCGCCAACGCCACGCCATGCCTAACGGGAAAATTATTGGTTTGTTTATGCTTGTTCACGCCGTCTGCTTTAGCTTCTGGATTCTACGCTTATCGACGAATGTGGATGCTCAATGCTGTACCCATGTGAAGCAGAAAGTGATTACGGTGAAAGTTTCCCTGAAATATCAGTCAAATCACACCAACTAGAAGCAGGTACTGACGGCTAGACAAAGTCTGGTCTGGTTAATTTAGACTGCATCCCATTCAATTTTCAGTTAAAGGGTGTGGGTTGGCCTCGTCAACAAAAGTCAGTAATATTAGGTGTGAAGCCGCTGAAAGACGCTCACTCGAGTGGCTAAAATATCGATCTAGAAATCACCTGGCCAAATGCCAAGAATGGTTTTTCATATTTACTTACTTTGCTGCGTCTGCGCGTGGCCGATTGGCAGTTTCCCTAAAAACATTCCACGTGAATCTAGTCTAATTTTATCACCACAAATCGAGACTGGCTCACAGGAAAATTGAGACAGAACATCCTTTTAGTCCTTGAAAAAAATGTCTTTATAGTCCGAAACAAAGCGCAATTATTTTTTTTTCACGACGCAGATAAATTTGATTTGTTCAACCCATTTCGAAAAGACGAATTACTGCAACAGATGGAGGCATTGGGCCAAATAATGTCAAATGACGACGTGATGGCAGTTATGAAAACCATGGTAGTGGAATTTTTTCCGATGTGTGTGGTAATAACAGAAAGACGGGATGCTTTCCTCGTGCCTGCAATTAAGCGGAACGACCACAGGCTTAAAATGTTATTCGACTGATTTAGTCGAACAGTGGCGACAGACGGCGGATTTCGAGTTCTGAGTACGCTCTTTTTAAAATTTAGTAAAAACGGTAACAGACAACATTTCCCCTGTTTGTCGTCGCTCAGAGGCTCAAATCAGAATGAACCACGAAGGCTTTCTCAGACTACCAATTTGCAGCTACTGCAGCGGATTAGCAGCGATCGTGCCTGAGTGAACCCTGATTACCGATCTGACGGTGACAATGACTCATCCCCCTTTCATTGGTTACTGTATTAGACGCCTGTCATCCGTTCACTCAACCACACCGTAACTCACACACTTGACTGGCGTGACGCTAATAAACGGTCATGTCTACTGTCGCCTCTCTTCACTCCGTTCTCGGGTTGTTACGTGCTGTTAACTAGAGGGTTGTAAGGTAATGCTTAGACCACAAGCCACTACATCTGGCGCCCGATGTGAGGCACGAATCCACGGCCCCGAAATGAAGAGTCTCGTGCTCTAACGACTGAGCCAACCGGACTGGATTGAAATTATAGCATTGGTGTTTGCAGGGAGACATTTAACCCATAACTGGCGCAGAACAGAGTCATCGACCTTGTTATCCCCGACAAGGGTCCGCATATGCCGGAGGAGTTGCGAAGGAGACCTGTCACCTAGCTTCGAGCCTCGTTCGAATTGGTCGTTCGAGCAAGAACAGCACTTTTTAATTCGTCGTAAGGATTATCAGAGGGCATTGTTTCAATGATGTCAAGAACTTCAGTTGCGACTTCTGTTGGTAGCAAAGGAACGACATGAAGGTATGTTGAAGGCTGTGGAGTAACCTCCAAGTTGCGAAATTGAGCCTCAACACTACCACTTACATTCAAAAGTACTTCTAATCAATTGAGCTGTCACAACATCCCAGTAACCGACTGAAAATGATCTTTTTTACCAATTGACTCAACACACAATTGGTAGACATCGTTGAGTCATTCTAAGCGGTATGACACCACGTATTTGTAATGATTTCGATACCAGTTCATGTCATAGCTCTGGATTGGTACAACATCCAATTTAATGTCGTCATCGGAATAAAATAATAGTTATATTTAAGAGTGCCATCAGAATAACTGTCATTCAATAGGATTTGATGTAAAATGAACCCATAAAGGGGTTAAAAATAATTTCAAAAATTTGATAAAACAATTAATTTCTATCAACTTGAAATTTTACTCTTTATTAGTCCCATGGCACACGCTAAACTCCGACTTCCATGGGAGTTATTCTTATCAAGTATATTTGAAAATGAGGGGCTATTTAATTATTTGTAATGCCACTTGTTTTTTTTCAAGTACACGGGTAAATTTATTTATAATGTGCTTTTAATGGTCAAAAATGGCGGGAAGACCGCTTTTTCCATCTATTTTGAAAGGGCGAATTGTCCTAACCCTCATCTAAATTATCCTCGGCATTTTCCACCTTCGATTACGGCGACTTCGGCAAGGCGTCAACGTGGCAAAGCACACAAAACGTTTTCCAGCATATTAAGCAATTGTGGCCCATTTTTAATGACGCATATGGCCCACCAACAAATGTGTGCGACAGATTTAAGGCTTCTGATTGTAGCTTATTTGTGGGAAAGCGTCAAAGGTATGCAAAACCCTATTTGGAAGTGATCAAAAACGAATAAATGAGTTCTCGTTGAGTGCAGGCTTCCGACTATATCTCGTTTTGCAGTTAGTGATTATCGGTACACATTGTGTACTTTTAAATCACTGAGCAACCAGTTATTGGTTTAGAAGTACTTTTTACCACACAGTTTATTGCTTTTTCCTGTTGTTTTATGGTAACACCGCAATGAGGCTGTGACGTGGATAGGCCTCGCAATTAAATGCAACCAATATAGGGTCAGTGCGACCAGAGGATTACATGAGGAAAGGCCACCACGGCACTAGTTGAACAGACCAATGCTGTGAATCTCTGTGAATAAGAAGCACCACCGGCTGTTCGTTATGCTATTTCCTTTCTTTGAGAAACCGGTTCGATTAAAAAAGCGCTACGATCTACACCGTTGTGAAAAATAAACTACCAGGAGTCGACTAACAAGTTTCAGCAACGAAAGACTTCAGGCTTTTAGGTTCAGTGATCAAAAGTACCTAGAGGAGGCTCGTGAGCTCTGGGCATGAATCAATGCCGTGATTCATGTCAAAAAGTCAAAAAGAATCGCACTCCAATTCAAAATAATTTCGCTTAAATATACATGATTCTTTTTTGGAAAAAAAATTGAACTTTGTTAATTTTGAACTTAATTTGGTTGTTAATTAAGATACAAATCGAAATGCCATTTAATCTTGCCTGCACTGTTGCGTTTTACGACCTGAGGAGGCCTAAATTGGAAATAAAAGTCGCTGACTGTATGCAGCTGCAACCTTAACACACAACAAAGGTGTGAAGGCTCTGCGATTTACGTTTTCCCGAGGGAGTTTGGGCTAACCCTGTTTATTTGGAAATAAATAACATTAGCTCAGTGTGGTTGTTTGATGACAAAACTTTCTAGATAAAGCACTAATGGATATGACAAACAACAGAGCTTTCAATCATCGTATCGCGCCATGAAGGAAAATAAATTCACACGTTTTGGTTATGTGTAACTACGTACAAAATGGTGACAAAATACCTCACAGAAAATCTCACGTAATAACCGCATCGTTTGATTCACGCTAATAGAATCATGAACGGAGGTGCATTGATATCAACCATGAATGCCCTATTATCGTTCACGGATGCTCGCATTCAACCACAATCTCCAAGCTGTTTTACACCGTATTTCACTGGATTTTCGGGGCCATTTATACATGTGTTTTACATGCCAGACAAGCCTTATTCTAAGCAACTGGTTTTTACATGCAGTCATCTGGCTGAAAATATGCTAATGGGTAGACCAGTATACTCAAAATACTCACAGCACGGTCTTTTTAATGCATAAGCAAAGGTTACGATAAGTAATAATAATTGGATTGGATGCCACGAAGTACCTCAAGTATCATGTTCATGGTAGTTTAATTACGAGTGAAGCGTTAGCCGTAAACAATAAAAATTTAACTGTCTTAAATACAAGTTAATGGACGATAGATAAACCAGTAAAAATTGACAAAAGACGTCGGCCATTCATAGGGATATTGCCAAGTACTGAGACATAAGACCAGCATAAAAAGTTAGATTAGTCGACAGCACAAAAACCGCCTATGCGTGGCTACTTGCTCTCGGCCACACACAGAGAAAAACTTTCACAATAGCATCTTCCCAAGAAACAGCAAGCAATAGGGCCTATCCGATGTGTTAGTCCTCGGCCCAGCTAAACATCAGCCAAGGTTTGCTACATATATATAGATGTATAATGATTTAAAGAATTCCCGTTTAAGGTTGAATAAAAGAACTCCGAAATTCCATCGTGTCTGATTTGAGCAAAGTTTTCGACAAGTTACTTTGCAGCCCCAGGCCAGCCGTTTGTGATCACCACAGTGGTGCCAACTTCGAAACATTCCCCACCTTTTTCATTATGTAAGTTGGTTTGGACAGATTAACAACAAACTGCTTACTGCTTGTTCTCCAAATCATTCTTAATATCTTGGAATGACGGCTGTGATTTCTGGGCGATCGGAGGGAAGTCCTCAAGAACAGGCAGGGGATGCGCCACCGACTCGTTAACAGTCACGTCGTGAGTCTTTGCAATCTGGGCATCCCCCTCAAACGGGTGTTCACTGGTTTCCAATGCGGCTTCCTGCTCAAAATCTCCGATTGTATCTTCTCCTGAGCCACTGGCAGCTGCGTAATGTAAAGGAGTTGCTTCATGCTTTTCCACTGCAAAGTGGTCCGTCCCACCGACAAGATCCATCCGCGCGTTGTCTGGTGATTCCTCTAACGGAGTTTCAACGTGCTTTACTGGACTGTGAAACAGATGGTCGGTGTGCTCCACTTGTTCGTTAGCGTGAAGTAATTGAGGTGGCGGTGTGGGTGGGCGTGGAACTGGTGCCTGGACCTCCTCTTCTTCGTCTTCTTGAAAGTGGCTGTTCTGGAAGGAGTACTCGATTGTGTCCGAGTCCTCGTGAGGAGGAACTTCCGGTAACAGTTCCTCCCCGACTTGCTCTTGACTGGTTCCCAAGACGAAGTCCGATTCCAGATGTGGAATTTCCGAATCTACTGGTGGTGCTGGTGGAAGGTAGGGCTCTTCCGTAGGTGGTGGTGGATGTTCTGCCTCCTCAGTGAAGGAACTTCTTGCAAAACTCTCGGTTTCAGCGAAGTCTTCTCCACCGTTTAAATTGTCCTCTATTAAATGGTCCTCCTCTTCGCTAACGGCTTTGTGTTCCTCGCTATTTGTTTGTTGTTCAAGTTCTTTTTGGAGGTAGATATAGTCGTCCTTGGGTACGACCGGAGGCTCAACGTACTCTTGTGAAAAATCCAGGTTGAATTAAGTCTAAAATATATTAAATGGGTGATAGATTTAACGTTAAGCCAAAACGACAACCATGGAATTTAAGCTTGTCCGGTCAAAGTCTACAAAGCCATGATCGTGAAATTTTGTAAACACCAAAAAGGTGCCCGCTTGTGTGAGTGGTGACAGGACATAAATACATGGAAACAGTTCTGGTTTCTGCGTCTAATGCATGGGTGGGCTGTTTTAGAATATAATTAAGCTGACATTAAAACATGAATATCAAATAAGCGCTAAATGGGATCAAAGATAGAAAGATGCTTGGGTCTGTGACTGAAATTATCGAAAATATCTGCGGTTGTAAAAAACACAGTTCTCCACGACTATCCGAAGATAATCGATTACGGTAACTACAGTAATTCAACCCAAGGCTCCAGTGCATAAACCAAGTGTAAGCACGTTCGCCCTCTTCTACTTGTCTATCGTCCCTCCTCTGAATTACATTGGATCACTTGAAGATGTGTCTTTGTTAACTTTCCGGTGAAAGAAAAAAGACTTGTTTTCTTTTTTCACTTTCATCCTAAGCAGTCTGTTCGCAGCCCTGGGCCCTTTTTTTCCCTCCTTGACAAACGAAATCGTGTGTATGTGTGAGCGTGTGCAGGTTATGCGGAAGGCGGGCTACATCGCTTGGGATACGGTCACGGGAGCACCCCCCACAGCATGACTCATCGGGTGGCTGCATTGTTGGCATCTGAAGACTACTGCCTAGGTACCAAGAAAGGATGAAAGAGTGGATTTTCCTGTAGAACCCAATTCATTCATGCAAGCATTTCCAGCGGAACTCCTGGGCAATTCTTTGTGCGGACTGGGGCTGTCAAGTCTACCGATTGCGCATGGTTAATTCGAGGCCTCTACCTTAAGTAAGCCCTACTTTGTCCCGATAAATACCCGCTGATTGTGCAGAATGCAAAGGCACCTTTGTGCCAAGACTGTCAGATCACCTAGGCAGCGCCTTCGAAGATTAAAGTATGCTAACTCCTGCAACGAAAATTAATTGGGCTTATGTAATGTATTTCTCGTTTAGTTGCTAAAATTGCGCTTGCATTTAAGATATCCCCCGGCTTCGTTATGATTTTGCCATAGTTAGACCAAGCATACTTGAGTGCTTTCAAATGTTAATATCCTGACGGTAATGCTCACTGCAATGCAAGAGTACGCTTACTAGCGGGCGACCCGTAGACCTGCTTACTTTGCCCTCGTTTCCAACTTGGAATTTAGGTCAAATGAGGTCGGCATTTTTCTCATTACCGCAGTCAGTACTCAGGTTGGAAAACATTTGATTCTCCTTCAGCAGGGTTCCCCAAAAATTTCTTACCACACTTAGTATTTTTGGACTAAGCTTTTGCTCATTGTGCGTTTGTCAGACTACCCACCTTCAAGATGTTACTATGAATTAGAGTCCAGTAGAAGTGACCATGCGCATCCTTTGTGCAGTTGTGGACTTTCTACATTAATCCCTGTATGTAAAACAGGCATAATTTTTGTGGCAAAAACAGGAGTATTGTACTTATTGTTCACTCCGCAAAACGACGCCAAATTCTATCTTTTGCAGACCTCAAAAATTGACTCCCCTTTAGCAGTCTACTATCATCTCTCTCTCTCTCTCTCGGCCATTTTACTGCTGCTACCCAAAGTGAAATTGGAAGTAATGGATGCTTTCCGCATAGCACATCGTATTAAATTTCCCAAATTGCAAAGTAGGTGTTGCTGTTGTTGTTGACATCCGATAGCTTCAAAAATACCTATCAGCAGTCATGAAGTCATCTCTAAGTGCAGTTAATTTGCAAGCAAGCTTCACAGACTGCTTATGTTGCAGGTTAACTTCTAACGTTGATATCTAAATCCTCATTTATCGTCTTCGATAACAAACCTTCCAAATCATTACTGATTAGTAGTGGGCGGAGTATTACAAGAGAGACAGAGACAAGGGCAAATGTTCATAACTCGGCACATATTTGTTTGAATTAAATAGGATTTATGTGCAAAAGTGAATTTGCCATGACCAGGTATTAGCCATCACAACTTGGTTCATGGAAGCGGACTCACTTTAGGCAAATATTTAACATAAAATCGACCATTTCCGACCTCTCTTAGTGTACATTGCCCAAATTAAAATATCCTTCTCAGTTGAAAAGGCGAACCACAAGACGCGGTAAGGGAAATCTTTCTAAAAAGCTACTTGCCTCCATCAGCTGTTAGAATTGCATAGAGATTAACGGAACATTAGGATAGAACAATGCCTAACTTAACCATTACCAGATTTAGACCTAGCTAAACGCACAATGAAATGCTGGGTTTTGTGTGGCCAAAACTGCGCCGAGGAAAAGGTGTGAAAACACGGAACCAGTTGCAGAGAAGCGACTCGGAACACAGACGCCGAAATCAGTTGAGGTTCTAATTCACCGAACCGCTTTGATATGTGGAGAAATTGGCGATTTTGCAAAATACACAAAAATTATATCGATGCTGCATGCACACACATGCAAACATTTGTTTGTTTATTTACATGCTGTGAATTAATGCGGCTTTAAAACTGTCCGCTTCCAGCTGTATGAATGAATTTGTAAATGGCACTCGCACCATTTTTCGATGTCGTTTCAACATATTTGAAATATCTAATGGACCTTATCTCGCATAACTTAGAGAACGCAGTGGTAAAACGTGGTCTATGCCCAATTAATTGACGATACTGTTAGTTGAGTTCCTCATAAATCCCAAACACTATATGGTAGATTCGTTAAGCCCTTGAAATAGTTAATGGCGAGTTTCCATGGCAACGCGTGTCTTGAATTTTGTCGTAGCAAATAACTAATCCCCCTCTCCAGGTAATTCCAAGCCCGTTGATTTCGATTGCTTTCCTTGGTAAAGCTAATTGTGAGTATTTGTGAAATTGTTGGTATGATTTGATGGTCACAATTCCAAAGGTTAATCATAATGAATTCTTCGGCGCAATCCAAATTCGCGAGCTTTGAATTTGATTTATTTAGATAAATGGCGGTGTTTAGTGTCCACTTTCTTTTATTGAATTTAAATAGTCAACTCCAGCGAATCTGTAGGGCGTTTTGAGATAGTACTGACACAAACGGTAACTGTTAATTTAATCTGTTTTTTGCAAGTTCAGCTTCAGCGCTCGTAGATGACCGAGTTCAAGATTTCACTAGCACATCTAATGAACAAAGATGAAATGCAGAACACAAGACATTTACGAAGTTTTCAATGATCCATTTGGACAAATTAACACCAACTTTTCCGCTTTATTGTAAATCTCAGCCCAAACCGTAACTGTACGGAAGTGCTGGGCCATTCGTTTGCCTTATGTCTTCAGTGAATTGTGAGTGCTTGCAGCCTTTAATCAGGATGGCAACTTCCTACTTGCCTGTTCTTAAAGGCTTCAGTATTTCTATTGCCACATTGACATATTTCCAACATACAAACTGACAGGCCCAGGGTGAAAATGTCGCAGAGAATCAAGGTTTTTTTAACTTCACAAATTACTCACATGTTTTGAATGTCAAGAAGGGAACAACAGGTTCATAACTGCTGAGAGATTACAACTAAATTCATTTCCAGCCAGCAGTAAAGGACCCAACTGTGGGACTTGGTTTATCCTTACGTGTTTTGCATCTAGTACTACACGTATACCGCTCGGTTCTTATAACGTCGTAAGTGCATTGGCTTTTAAATCACTAGTGGAACTACCTGGTCGTAAAATTGGAATCCCATTACTTTGCGTGAATGCTCTAGTCAAGCGCAAAACCCATCAAAAATTTAATTAACAAAAATGACAGAGTGGGGTGTTTGATTCCGACCTCGGAGATTTTAAGAATGCCTGAAATAAGATAGTCAAAAGGCCTTGACTAAGTATATTTTTTTGTAATCGGATCAGTCGTTCAGATTAAGCATAAGCAAAATCTACCGACACACACTCTAACAAGTGTGCTGATGTGTGGATGACATATGATTTACAAGAATTTATGGGAAAATTTCGATACGTTAGACTAATGATAAAAAACTCCGGGTTGCCATAATAATGCCAGGTAATTTTTAGAACGTATTAAGAACTTTCCACAAGTTGGCTAAAACCAGCAGTTAGGTTAACGGATTCGTCCGAACGGTATGCGATTTTCTAAGTGACGAATACAGCCACAAAGGGGGACATTCGGTACAAGACATGAAAAGACTCGACATTCCTGCATGACGAATATATACTTGCTTGAATCATCCAAATCGGGCGGTGGGGGCAAGGAAGTCGGTAATTTGCCCAAACCTTAACTTCCGGCAAAATACGATTTGTCATCCTCGTAATGCATAACCTTAAATACCCTGAAATATAACTGAAAAAAAGTTTTCTACCTGAAGTTAATATACCAAACAATTTTGAGCTAATGAATTATTGTGAAAGTAGAAGAGATTTGATGGTCTCAAGTGTGAACAAAACTTCGTCATTGGTTTCACTTTCCCCACCAACAAATTCTCATGGTTAGCCAAAAACTCCGATTTTGACTTGGGAATTATTAAATACAATTGCACTATAATACTCCAGCTCGAAAAATAGGAAAATGATGCGCTGACCAGAACCGAAGCTTATAATTCTTTGTTTTAATGTGATTTCAGGGATTGAATTTCTATTTAATCCCGGTGAAGTCAGAAGTGATATCGTGCTTGGCCGATGTTGTCTAATTAGGTGTAAGTAGGTGCGTTTCAAGGATTTAGTTTGGTGCGCAGTTTACGCTGCGGAGTCTTAAATGTGTGCGCATGTGAGAATATCGGTGCATTTGACCAGGTTGATTTACATTTGTAAACTTCATCTACTCTCTTTTTCTGCACTACAAAACGGCGGAAAGATTCTCAGACGTAATGATGGGAGGAAACGTTCTATCGAGTGAAGGAAGTGCTTATGGCGAAAAAGTGGAATGAATGTTTGGGCAGATGTGAGTGGGCCCAATTTGATGCTTTATAGATATAATCATTAAGAATATTGTATTTCAATTAAATGTCTTTGCACACAAAAGCATACGCATTCTTTTTGTCTAACAGGACATACCAATCATGCTACCTAGGACCATTTTCTTAGACACATCAAAAAACACATCTAGATATACACGTAAAGGTCATTGCTAGCTACCAGACCTCACTTGGAGAGCGAATAACAACGACCATGAAAAGGTGTACACAAGAAGGAAAAAATGGCAACTGAAATGTGGTCAAGCTGTTTCCGTCAGGTGTCGTAGGTGTCATTGACTGACAGCTGAAGCCAAAAATGTTATCACTTATTTATTACAGACTACGTGGGGAGAATTCTTCCTTAGCCAACAACTAGACCAATTTGGATTACATCTGGAATTCTGGTACTTAAGCAAGACGTCCGTTTGGAATTTGAATAATGAACCACCTAAAGCAAACAATTCGGTTTAATACTAATAGCAACGTTTTAATTAGCAAGGGTGCAACGTATTCCCCGGCAATTTGCTCAGACTTTTGTGCATGGCCTTTACAAAGCTATGTTTTCTTTGGAAGGCGCATGTCTGGGCAAAGAGGCAGCGAATCGAGGATATCACTGGCAAAACACCCATTCTTGACAGTGACTATTTATTAGGGAGCTCTAAAGTTACCTTCTTCGCTGACGCTATTTACTGCTGGAAGACCTATACAAAAATTAGTCTTATTGA